AAGGAAGGGGGGTGGGGAAGGAAGGAAATAAGAAAGGAAAAGAAAAGAAAAAGGAAAGATGGGAAGAAAGAAAAAAGGAAAGAGAGATGCTGGGCATGCTGGCTCATGCCTGTAATCCCAGCACTTTGGGAGGCCTAGGACGGTGGATCACTTGAGCCCAGGAGTTCGAGGCCAGCCTGGGCAACATAGCAAAGCCCTGTCTCTACAAAAGGCAAAAAATAAAAGTAGCCGGCCATAGTGGCGCTTGTCTATAATCCCAGCTACTAGGAAGGCTGAAGTGGGAAAACTGCTTGAGCCTGGAGAGGTTGAGGCTGCAACGAGCCATGATCGCACCGTTACACTCAACCTGAGCAACACAGTGAGAGAGAGAAAGAGAAAGGAAGAAGCATGGAAAGAAAGGAAGGAAAGAGAGAAAGAAAAGAAAGTAAGGGAAAGAAAGGAGGGGAGGGGAGGGGAAAAGAGGGAAGGGAAGAGGAGGGAGGGTCCTCTGCCCTGAAATGCAGGTCTGAATGACCCCCAGGGGCAGCAGCATCACATACAATGTAGCATACTGCCTAACGCATAGCAGATGCTCATGATACAGTTTTTGAAAAAATGAATATGAATACACAGTTTCTCATTTTCAGAAGGAAAAAATTGAGAGGCCACATGAAGCTACCCAGGCCGCACAGAAGGTGGCAGAGTTTGCAATGGCAGGGGATGGGTTGGGCCAGGGGCCTAGCCCAGAAGTCCAATACTGAATAGGCTAAGGGGCAGAAATGTAACTCCTGCTGGGCACCTGCCACGGCCCCGAAGGAGGCTATGATTAGCTCCTGTATTAATTGAGGAAGTGAAAGAATGGGGAGATGAAGTAAGCAGCCCCAAGTCACACACTTGATTAGTGCTGTGGAACCTGGCTTCAAAGGCAGGCTTGTGCAACTTCTGCCATGCCCCGCTGACTTTCACTTGATACTCCTGAGATCAAGAGTGAAGGCTGGACATCCAGGAGCTCATTCTTTAGAAACAGTAGGTGAAGGGGCTGGAAGGAGATTTTAGTGAAACCTGGCAGCTCTGTCCATGCATACAGCTGATTCTGTTATTTTCCAGTCAATCTGTTTGTTTTGGCTGTAATATAAGCTGGTTGCTAAGTAACTGCTCAAACAGCTAAGATGCTGAACTTTTTGGGTAACCGAGCAGACCCCAAAAAGGGTGATATAAGTTAAGTGTTTGGGGGTGCAAGCCGAGGGCTCCCAGTCAGCCTGCTCTGGTACTCTGGTGTTTGGGAGTAACCTGGCCCCTTTGACAGAGTAAGCAGGCTGTCACGGAGGGAATGCCACCTTCCTCCCCATCTAACGCTACCATTTAACCTCTCTGGGGCTTCAGTTTGGTCACCTGTAATGATACTTGTGTGAAGAACAGAGGTAATGACAGTGCAGCTGGCAGGGTTTCTGGCACATGGTAAGGGCTCAACAACTATTTTTTTTTGAGACAGAGTCTCACCCTGTTGCCGCTCGAGTGCAGTGGAGTGATCTCAGCTCACTGCAACCTCTGCCTTCCTTTCAAGCGATTCTCCTACCTCAGCCTCCCAAATAGCTAGGATTACAGGCATGCACCATCACACCCAGCTAATTTTTGTATTTTTAGTAGAGATGGGGTTTCACCATGTTGGCCAGGATGGTCTCAATCTCTTGACCTCGTGATCCACCCGCCTCGGCCTCCCAAAGTGCTGGGATTACAGGCATAAGCTACGGTGCCCGGCCAGAGCTCAATAACTTATAGCTGTCATCATTTTTAATAATTAAAAAATTTGTATTTTTGAGACAGGGCATTGCTCTGCCATTCAGGATGGAGTGCAGTGGCACAATCATGGTTCACTCCAACTTCAACTGCCTGGGCTCAGGTAATCCTCCCGTCTCAGCCTCCTGCGTAGCTGAAACCACAGGTGCATTCCACAATGCCCAGCAAGTTTCAACATTTTTTTTTTTTTTTTTTTTTTTTTAGCGATGAGATCTCACTATGTTGCTCAGGCTGGTCTCGAATTCTTGGGCTCAAGCAATTGTCCTGCCTCAAATGCTGGGTTACATGTGTAAGCCAGTGCACCTGGCCATTATTAATATCCTGACAAAGCTTGGGCACAGCATTTTGTGGGAGATCAGTGCTGAGGAATTTCGTTTCTAGAAGGCCCTGGGGGCTTTGTTGGAGTCCCCAGCTGCCATAGCAAACAGGACCCTTAACCTCATCTCACACCAGTGATGCTACACGGTGCACAAGGGGCATCCACTGATAATGCCTGCGTCAGAAACGAATCCAGCTACTCACCAGAAAAAGTGTCCCTGAAGTCAAGGGCAAGTTGATACGATGACTTCATATGAAAAGAACAGTGCATGCTTTTTTGGGGCTTCTAAGAGAATCACATTCCTCATTGCTTCTGATAAACACTCTGGTGTGTAGGAATTGTCTAGGTCAGAGGTTGCATTCTGGTGGTTTGGGGTGGGGGTACGAGGGGTCAAGGCAGCCCGAAGATGTATTTGGTCAGCCTCAACAGCATTTGAAACAATTTTTTTGCTCTAAATCATCATTCAAAACAATTTTTAAAAATTAGTTGCCAACATTAAAAATAACAGTTTTATATGACAATCCAGATTCCCTTGAAAGACAGGAATACCTAGTAACCTTCCCTGCTTCCCTAAAGCTGTAACTGCTCAAACTGTGTGGAGAGACACCTCTCTCTGAGACCAGGGCTCTGGATCTCCATTGAATTGTACTCAGCATTCTTGGGAAAAGTCTGGGAAGATGGTAATAAAGTTTTAAAAGCAATTTGCAGTATTTCAAAACCCCTGAGGGGAACAACATACCTTCTTGTGACAAGGTGGCAAGGCCAACTACCACCTCAAGTGATTCTGCATTAAGCCAAAGCTAAGTAGCAGGCCACACTAGTTACCACACATCAGGGAGGGTCTGGATTAGTAGTGAATGATGTCTTTGATCAATAAAACATAGGAAGACAAAACAAAAACAAAACCACCCAGTCTGTTCACACCTGTTTTTTTTTAAAAACATGATGCCCATAAGGTCAAATAATTCAACAGTCCTTGAACAGGGAGAGTACAGACCACAGACTCATATGGGGCCAAGTCATTTTCAACTGGCAGGAGTGAAGGGAGGGTCCCAGAGGGGTGGACGATGGGAAGGAGTCCAATGCTGAAGACTCTTTTCTTGGTCTAGGGTGGCACTCACTCCCATCATCTATCGTCCCCTTGGGAGCCTGGCATCCCACAAGCTGCCCAAGTTTCAGAATCTACAGGGATCAGCGGCTGCAAGCCCTGTCTGGCCACATGGGGGCACCCTGGCTCCACACACTGGATTCTGAGATCCAGCAGGGCTGGCACAGGCGCTGGGGCTAGAGGGAACGCTCCATTTCTGCAGCCTGCTGGGTCAGGGGTTGAGGCTCATGATGCTGGGTACCACAGCACCTCACATCCCCGATTCAGCGTCACGCTGCCATGAGGGTTGCTCACCTGCTGATTTTAACAGAGTCTGGTAGGGACTCCTCCAGCCCCGGGGGAGGGATTAACACTATGAAACCTGGAGATGCCTCTGGAAGGACATGAACTCAGAAGCTGGAGAGAGAACACAAGCTGCCTAACCTTGCTTCAGAGAATGCAGGGCAGCGGAGGGTGCGCATACTCAACCTATGCTCTGGCTTCCCTACAGAAGGTTTCAAGACACCTGGAAGGTTTTTTTTTTTTGAGAGAGAGAGAGAGACAAAGAAAGATACCAAGAGACAGAGTCAGATGGAGGGAGGGACGGAGAAAGGACAAGAGAAGAAGAGAGAAAGAAATCAGACCCTGCCTGGTTTGGGACAAATAGAAACCCTAGAGCTCCCAATAATGTGAAGCAGCATGAACAGCACACGTGAGGCTACAGATGATGGTTCACACCCTGGTGTGAGCTCTCTGGACTTGAGCTGTTATTTTGCTTCTCTGAGCCCCACTCTTCCTCCCTGTAGAATGCAGGGAGCCATGCCGGCCTCTGGGTTCGACGCACAGAACCAATGGGATGATATATGCAAACCACCTCTCATGACACCTGGATCTAGACAGACTTGGTGTAAACATAACTCATGCTGACCAATGACAGCAAATAAAGGATTTTTAAAAAATATCACTGGACCGTGATACTGTGTGACTTTAGTTTTCTCATGTGTAAAATGGGACTTTTGGGCCATGTGACTTCTGTAGCTCTAATCAGTCCAAATTGTGTACTATTCTATACTAAATGCACTCTTTACACAGCTATCTAAGCCTTCCATTAGCCGAGTGCTTTCTCCAGCTGATACCCTGTCCCACGATGTGGGGCGTGCTGGAAAGTGACGCTGGAGATTCACAGAAGCAGCCGTGATGGTGCTTGGGCACCTGGCTCTGCAGTCAGACTGGCCGCTTCAACCCCAGCTTCCCTTTACTAGGTGAGTAACCCCGGGCCAGTGGCTCCTGGTCTCATTCCCACAGTTCTCCATTTGGAAAAGGAAGGTGGTAATACTAGCCATGGCAGGGACTCTGGGGGAGGAAATGAGATCCTACCAGTCAAGCCCTCAGAACAGTGCTGGGCATGCGGCAAGCACTTCCGTAAGGGCTAGGCATCACCATCACTTAGATTTGTTTAAAAGACTGGGCAATGATCTTTCCTGGGTTATAGGAAGGTTGTCTGATCCAAGACCGGAAGAAAGAAGGCATGTTTTCACACACGCTACAGAAACAGCAACAGACTGGCAGACAACAGGAGATGTTCCCTGGACCAAGCTCTGCCGGCAGCATTTCCTGCTGCAAACTCAGGTTCCAGTCTGTTCACTGAGAACTCTGGGTGGCTGTGGGCAGGTCCCTTCCCCTTCTCTGTGTCTCCACTGCCCCATCTAGGAAAGAAAACTGTTGGACTAGATGATGACCCTAAAGGCCTTCTGGTCCTGGCACTGCATGGCCCTATGTGCCTTCTGGCCTGATGACCGGGCCCCTGCCGGTCCTTACCTGAGGTACTCATAGAGCCCGTACATGGGCAGGAAGTCAATGTCGGACAGGAACATGTAGGGCGTGCTGATGTGCTTCATGGCCACGTTGCGCAGCAGGTTCACGGGGTAGAACTGGCCCTCCTTGTACACGATGTGGTAGCCCACGTTGTGGCGGCTCATAAGCACCTCGGAGCCCTGTGCGTAGCGGAGGAACTGCTGGGCTTCGGCGTCTGACAGGTAGAGGGCCAGGCTGATGGGCCCCTCCCAGTGCTTGCAGATGGCCTCCAGCATCTGGAGCCTGGAAGAGACAGGGAGGGTGAGCCGCGGGACCTGGACTGTCCGTGTCTCATCAGCCCGGCCTGCTGTGGGGCTCTGCCTCCAGGGACACTTATCAACTAACTGTGGATCAAATCCCTGCTTTCAACGTGACCCTCTCAGTTCCTTTACCTATAAAACAGGCATCAAACATTGACCTTGCTGGTTGTTTTCGGTCCCTGCTTGCAATCGAACATGTGATACAAAATCATAACACACTATAGGCCCCAGACTCCTCGTTTCAAAGTCGGGTGGTGAGTCTATTAAACGATCTGAAGACCCCCTTCCAGCCCTGAAGTCTTGCACTTCTCCCTCCGCAAAGGTATGTAACAGCTCTGCTGATCTCCTAAGGCAGTGACCAGCCAGAGAGGACTTAGACCAACTGAGGCCACTGAGTTACAAGGAACAGTCAAATAGTAAACACAAAGAGGCAGCAACAACTCTAATTACAGCTGTGCTGCAGTGTGCCAGGAGCTTTCCCGAATTCTCTCCATAACCCTGAGCACTAGCTGTCATTCTCCCCATCTTTCTGATGGAGCAATCGAGGCACCAGATGTTCAGTCAGCTTTGCCTCTTGCACTTACAGGGCAGACGTGTAGACAGTACCCTGATGAGACAGACCCTGGCATCAGGGAAAAGAATAACAGTAAAAAAGGGAATCGAAAAACATGAGAATGCTGGAAACAAAAGTCTACCTGGGGTGATGCTGTCATCATTCACATTCACAGCCCTTACTGCCGCAGGGCTCCAGCCAGCTTTGCAAGGCTACCTCAGCGATGCTGAGCCAGGGAGAGGGGGAAAAAACAGAGCCCAGTGAAAAAAGAAAAAAACAAAAAACAAAAGGGGCTTGCAACAGAGAGGGTTCTGTGAAAACGTTTGATGATAAATCTATAAAGATACTTTCTTTCAAAGGCATTAGAAGTGCCTGGTACATAAAATCTATGGCTAAGAAACAGCAAAAGCCTACTTGAATTGTTTTTTTCTTACCCAGCAAGAGGTACATAATCAGCAGTCTCCTGGTCAGAATGCCCACTTTATTCGGACAATTACCAGGAAATCGATTCCAGGCATTTCCATGCTTCTAAACTAAAGGAAATGGGCACGACTATCTTGTCTCAATGGCCTTTTTGATGACTTCCAGTTTCCTCTCAGTAATTCTGTGAATTGGTACTGCCCAGATTTGTTTCCTCTTTCAATATGGAGGACTGAGATATTCACCAGTGTAAAATGCTCTCCATTTCTCATCCATTATAAAGCCTGCTAACCAAACTGACTAGAGCCATTTCTTAAAAAGGCACTGCATTCTTCACGAAGCCTAACTGCAATGAACCTTGTGTTAGCCTTCTGCTATAGGGGCCTGCCCTCTTCTGGGCTCTGAGGATCTGGAATTTTGAATTAGACCTCCTGCACCTGTTTTACCTTCTGCAAAAGTGGGGGACTCTGCACTTCAAGACAGAGCCATTGGTACAAATCCTCTGAGAACTGGAGAGCAAAAGAATAATTTCTAGCATGTAGACATGAGAGCTACTGAAAGAAGTGGAAAGGAGGAGGGAGGTCTGGCTGGCCACGAAGAGAAGACCACTTCCTGGGATCCCCCCACTGGCTTGGTTTTTGCCTCTGTTGTCTCAGTTGTCCAAGCAAGGAACCCCTCCCCTGCCCTATGACCTGCCATGGTCCCTCTCATAAGCTCAGCCAAGAGTTTAGAGTAAGAACAGAGAGGTCGGGTGTGGTGGCTCATGCCTGTAATCCTAGCACTTGGGGAGGCCAAGGCAGGTGGATCATTTGAGGTCAGGAGTTCAAGACCAGCCTGACCAACATGGTGAAACTCTGTCTCTACTAAAAATACAAAACAAATAGCCAGGCATGGTAGCACACGCCTGTAGTCCCAGCTACTTGGGAGACTGAGGCAGGAGAATTCCTTGAACCTGGGAGACGGAGGTTGCAGTGAGCCAAGATCATGCCATTGTACTCCAGCCTGGCTGACAGAGCAAGACTGTGTCTCAAAAGAAACCCAAACAAACAAAACCAACAGAGAAAAAATACTCAAGGTTCTCAGAAGTGCTGTGTATGTAGAGATAATGCAGCCAGGTGTTCTGTAGAACCTCCACAAGCGAGATGGAATGGTGACACGACCCACTGCTGTTTCTACCCCAGCCCCAATCCCTCCTATCTTTACTCCCTTAGAACCAACCTTTCTGCCAGGACCTGAACAACTGTGACAAACTGAAGTTTGTAACAATGATGGTAATATTTAGAACGTGATCATGGTCTCATCCATCTCCCCCTTTTCCTGCTACTTGCCAGGTCTTTGCCACACTGTGGCTGTCACATGTAATCCTCACAGTAACTATAAAATTGAGATTCTTGTCACCATTTTACAGGCAAGGACGCTTGAGGGGGAGAAATAACTTCTTCCAAGTCATGCAGTTACAAAGTGAAGGACACAGATTCACATTCAGGTCTACCTAACCCCAAGGCCCGGACCCAGATCATTATTTGATATGGACTGGGGTTAGGCTGAGAACCAAGTTCCCAAATACCTTTGCTCCACTGCCTGTTTCCCCAAATAAGAGTGTGTTGTTCTCCCGGTGTCAATGCCTCCCCACTCCTGCCTCTCCTCAGTTCCTCCTGGTATCTGTCTCAAAGCTCCACAATCCCCTTGTCCCTTCTCATGCTTCCCTCCCCTCATCTGTTCCCTAAGGGCATTCCTGTGCAGTTCTTGCTGATGCCAAGCTCTATGCCCAGGCTTTCTTTAGCTGGATGAGTCCATGGAAGAGCTGACCCTAAACCCAGAAGGCCTGTGTCCCCCATACTGGTTCCCACTTCCCCATGGAGACCACCATTGCTTCGTCTAGGGAGGGGTGGGCAAAGGCTCAGAAATTTCTGGCAGACCTAAAAACAGGCAGGGGCTACTCCAGAGAATCCCAGAGACTGGAAGCCTCAAGCAGTCTGTGTAGTCATAAAGGAGAAGGCCGAGTCAGAAACCCAGAAGACCAGGGCTGGAAGGAATTCTAGAGCATCAGAAAACCAAGCAGCCCAGGCAGTGACCACTCGGCTGGGTAACTCACACCCACCGAGGCGGCACATTCTCATCTGGTGCACTGCCCGTGAGGCGGGCTGCGTAGCCTATCGCAGGCATGCAACTGTAGGTTTTGGGGTCAGACAGGCCTGATTTGTCCTCTGAACTGTGTCAGTATTCCTGGGCAAGTGACAGTTCTTTGAGATTCAATGTCCACGTATGTATTTTGGGGATAATGATGCCTTTGTTAGAAAACAAAATAGCTACAAATCGTCCCTCTTCGTCTATCCATAACCTCCGGAAAGAATCTCCCACTTGAATTCTGGCCACATGATTTGCTTTTGTCCACGGTAAGTTAGCAAACATGATACGAGCAGAGGTGAGAAAACGGGCTTGTGCCTACTGCCACGTGAACCAGCCTACGCCACCTTGCCCTGGTGTTCCAGTTGTGCCTGATAGGCAGACGACCCCCCAAAAAGCTACCTAGCTTATGGCAGACACACAAATGAGCCCAGCAGAGTCTCCCCACACTGCCAATCCAAAGATTCGCAAGCTCATTATAGTGCTTGTAGTAAGCTGCTAAGACTCGGAGCAGTCTGTGAAGCAGTAACATCTGGCTGAATTTGGGGATTAAATGAGATAACGATACAAAGTGTCTGGTGCAAAGCCGGATATACAGCAGGTGCTCAGTACAGGATAGCTGTAATTTTCTACTTAGGTTCAATTTTTCCGCTCAAACATGTCTTCACCTAATATTTGTTATTTCCAATGCATCAGGAATAGTATACAGACAAGGGGCCTGGGTGCCTGCATTTCAGGAGCTTTTATTCTAGCGGGGGAGAAAAAAAAAGACAATCAAGAAACCAGAGGTTTGACTAGGGAGGTGATTAGGTCATGAGGCTGGAACTCTCATGAATGAGATTTGTGCTCCCCACCCCCACCCCCTTTTTTTTGAAACAGAGTCTCATTCTGTTGCCCAGTCTAGAGTACAGTGGTGCAATCTCAGCTTACTGCAACCACCACCTCCTTCCAGGTTCAAGTGATTTTCCTATCTCAGCCTCCCAAGTAGTTGGGATTACAGGCATGTCCCACCATACCTGGCTAACTTTTGTATTTTTAGTAGAGACGGGGTTTCACCATGTTGGTCAGGCTGGTCTTGAACTCTTGACCTTAGGTGATTCACCTGCCTTGGCCTCCCAAAGTGGTGGGATTACAGGTGTGAGCCATCACACCCAGCCTCTGTGCCCTTTTAAGAGACCCAGGGAGCTTACTGGCTCTGTCCACCATGTGAGGACATGGTAACTAGGCACTAGCTGTGAGCCAGGAAGTGCATCCTCATCAGACACTGAATCGACCAAAGCCTTGATCTTGGACTTCCAGCCTCCAGCACTGTGATCAATTTCCATCGTTTATGTATCAAATAATTATGGCATTTTGTTAGAGCAGAATGAGAAGTATGTGAAAGTCTCAGGGGGAAGCTTTTCAAGAAGAGGGGATAGCTCTTGGGGTAAAAATGAGCTCAGCATGTTCAAGCAGGAAGAAACAGGCTAAGTGTGGGTGCAGCACAGGAGGGTGAGGGGCAGAGGTGAGATGAAGGTGTCAGGGGGGTGTGCAGATGCCAGGTTGGTGGGCCTGGGAGACCACAGCAGGCAGGTGAGATACTGTTCCACATGTAACAAGAAGTCATCAGAGGGTTTTAATGGTGTGACCTGACTTACATTTTTAAAACATTACTCTAGCTGTTACATGGAGAAATAATTAACTTTCACTCTCTGAACGGTCAGCTTGTTTAAGATCACCTGGGGGACTCATTAAAACCCTGATTTCCAGGCCCCACCCTAGAGATTCTGTTCAGGAGGTGTGGGGCGGGGCCTGAGAAGCTCCCATGCAATGCTGTGTTGCTGGTCCCTGGAGCAGGCTCGAAGCAATGCTGTTTTAAGGAGTGGGGCCCTGTGAGCCCACCCTATGCTCTCTCCTTTACTCACAGAGGGCAGAAAAGAGACCCATCATCCCCATGAGGCCCTGTAACTGTAGTCTGCACTTAACATCTTTGTCAAAGGCACACTGAAGAACCAGGCTCCCTGGCCAGGTGTCAGAAGATGGGTGCCCCCTCGTGATCCGCTCCCTCTGTCCCTTCGGCCATTGCTGTCTTCCGCTGGGATGGGAGGGGAGGGTTCTGAGCAGCTGAAGGCGCAGCAGATCTCCTGACTCCACAGCCAGGCTGCAATGTTCATTCTTTCTGAATGGAATTCCAGAGGGAGCTGGGCACGAAGCGCAAAGGCCGGCTCTCCTAACGCGTGGTGGCATTCACGTAGGGCCTACTTCTGACTCAAAGGTTTACAAACACATCTGAAATGTTTCTTAAATTAAAAATCAATCCAAGAGGCACCAGTCAGCGTGCTGCATCATAATGGGATGGGTTGACGAAGGGCAAGCGGCTGCAGGAATTTCGGCCATTTTTCATCAGCTTGCAGTGCCACTTCGTCATTCTTAATTGCGGCCTGCTAAGCACCTCTCATTAGGGCTTGGAATCCCCTGGGTTCACAAAGACATTGTCCTGATGGTGACACGTGTCACAATACAGGAGTGGGTACTGTGTGTCTGCTACACTTGGGCTGTCCCTGCTTTGAGGGAACGACTGCTGTGGTCGGTGTTTGCGGCAGATGTGAGTGGGGCCCAGAGTTTCTTTTAAATGGATTTTGTCTGCAGCCCAGGTCAGAAGGATGGATCCCAGTGGCAAGAGAAGGATTTTGCCTGTACTCTCCTCTTGTTCACAAATGTATACAGAAGGATGGGTTTGAGCTGTTAATAACTAGAAACATGTTTGTTCTACTTGGTTGCAAATTCCAGACAGCAAATTCTATAGCCAGCACAGAGGTGAGAAACGTTAAGGAAAGGGAAATAAATATTTGCTCACATCAGCTACTTACTAGGCACTTTACGTGTTAGTCTGTAGAACCCAGACAATCATCAGTGAGTTTGACAACATTATCCCCATCTCATAGATGAGTCCAGTGAGGCTCACACAGCTAGGAAGTGGCACACATGTACTCTGAATCCAAGTCTTGCTTTTTTCCTTTTCTACTGCATTGCTTTACCTATCCTAAACAACTACCGTGTGCACACGCCCTCGTGAGGATGTGTACGTCTAGCCAGTATTTACTGGATGTCAAATATGTGCTCAGGGCTTTCACAGAGGATCTCTTAATTACTCCTAACCAGGACCCTGTGAGGCAAGTAATTTTACCCCTATTTTACAGAGGGAGAAAACAGAAACCCAGTGATGTTAAGTGACTTGCCCAGAACACCAGCTGAAGATTGAATGAGTTGGTGGGATTCGAACCCAGAGCTTTCTGTCCTTCCGTCTAGTGCCTTTTTACCCAGTATCACGAATGTTAAGATTCTGGTCAACAGTACGGGTATCATTTAGGGAGCCTTTGAATGTGTGTCAGGGCTAAGCACGAGCATGCCTTCTCTCATATGCTCTCTACAACCACCTTAGGGATAATACCTTGAGATTTCGGTCCTGAGACCCTGGGCAGAGAGCCCTGCTAACATCTAACATCTTACAAATACGTAATTTTTTTTTTTAATGTGTGGCGCCTGGAGTGCAGTGGCATGATCTTCGGCTCACTGCAACCTCCGCCTCCCAGGTTCAAGCAATTCTCCTGCCTCAGCCTCCCCATTAGCTGGGACTAAATGCATGTGTCACCACACCCAGCTAATTTTTGTATTTTTTAGTAGAGACGGAGTTTCACCATGTTGGCCCGGACAGTCTCAATCTCTTGACCTCGTGATCTGCCCGCCTCAGCCTCCATAAATGCTGGGATTAACAGGCGTGTACTTTTTTAAGGCTGCTCATTGTGTGGTGCTTTGTCGCCTAACAACAGAAAGCAAATGGGTTGCCTGAGCCCCAAGTAGGCTGCATACTCCTTGAAGATACGCGGATTCCTTTCTCTGCGAGTCCCACCACATGCAAGCAAAGGACCACATGCATAATTCAGTGGCTTCAGGGGACGGTAGTCTGTTGGGGATTCACAGGCTCCAAAAGAACTTGGAGAGAGGCCACTGATTCTCCAGTGCACAGAGAACGTAGGAATCTGGGGGGCGCGTATAGAAAACTGTCTGCCACTGACAGGTCTACAGGTCTACAAAAGGATGTTGAATTCTGAGTGCCGGGCAGGTGGTTCACCAATGCTATAGGAGCCCAAGGAGATGGAGAAAAGAAGAGGCAGGGAATGTGTCCGAGGAGAGATGGCCCCTGAGATGGAGGCTTGGTAGACTGAGAGTAGAAGGCACAGAAGGAAATAAGACAGTGATAGGTCTTTTAAACCATATTCCCCTCCCTTTAAGTGCCTAGTACAGAACGGTGAGCGGTATTTGCTGAGTGACCACGTGCCTGTGGAGATGAGAAAACTGTGGACACAAGAAGGGACAGGCCTTGCTAAAGCCGTCACAGCAAGTCAAGCGTGGAGCTGGTGCCGGAACCGCCATACTTGTCCCTTGCTCTTTTGTCCCATGTTGTGTTTACCTGTCACCTGCTAGGATCTCCAGGTTCTCTGTGCACAGGAGTTCCAGTGGCCTTTCTCCAAGTTCTTTTGGAGGCTGTGAATCCCCAGGAGACCACCAGCCCCCGGAGCCACTGAATTATGCATGTGGTCATTCGCTTGCATGTGGCAAGACTCACAGAGAAGGAATCCACTTCCCTGAGCCACCACCAACATGAATCATTCTAGGTTGCCTCCAGCGCAGGGTTCCTCACTTCCTGGAGCTCACAGGTGACTTTATGAAAAGGATGTTGTGTCTGGGTGTTTGTTCCTTCATCTATCTGTCCATTCTTCAATCATTCGTGACTCCTAACACCTGGCATTTATGGAACACTTACTATGCGCCAGGCGCTATTCTCAGCACCGTATAGGCATTAGCTCATTTACTCCTTAGGACAATCCCACAGAATCCCATCCATAGGCTGGACAGGCATCTCTGAGGTGGCTCAAAAGGAAGAATGAGGAATCAAACTTCCTTTCTAATCATAGGAGCTGTGGGGACATGACATGAGAGGGAGCTGGGGCAACGGCAGCCACCATGGGCCACGTGTAAATTGTAGCAGAAGCCACTCAGACAAGGTGGGAAGGGGCACCTGACATGGTCAGGTATAGAAAAGCCGTGTAACGCTGGCTGAGTGACCTTGGGGCTTCAAATCCATTCACTTCTTGGCAGCCAGAGATGTTTTTAAAAATACATAAATTAGATCATCTAATTGTGTACATTTATTCAATAACTCCTGCCACACTGAGTATCTCATGAGCATCTAACCTCCTCCCATCTTTCTCACGCCACTTCCTCCCAAGCCCCCCTGATCCACAGCCACCCTGGTCTTCTGTGAGGTTTCTGGATGTGCAGGCATTCTTCCCACCACAGGCCCTTTGCACCTGCTATTGCATCTGCCTGGAACACTCTTCTCTCAACAGCTTGCACACCTGACCCTTTTTCTTGTCCTCCAGGTCTCTGTAGAAATGTCCCTTCCTCAGAGAGCCTTCTCTTGACCACACTATCTAAAGAAGCTTCCAGACCTGGCACCGGGATTATCCTCCTAGTTCCTTCAAAGCACTGATGCAATTACAGTCATTCTTAAAAACTGTTTATTGCTGTTTATGTCACTAGCTCCATATTCTCAGCCCTGGCTACACATTATAAGCTTAAAACAATGCCGGCCAGGCACGGTGGTTTATGCCTGTAATCTTAGCACTTTGGGAGGCTGAGGTGGGTGGACTGCCTGAGCTTAGGAGTTTGACACCAGCCTGGGGAACACGGTGAAACCCTTTCTCTACTAAAATACAAAAAATTAGCAAAGCACGAAGGCATGTGCCTGTAATCCCAGCTACTCGGAAGGTTCAGGGAAAAGAATTACTTGAACCCCGGAGGCAGACGCTGCAGTGAGATGAGATTGTGCCACTGCACTCCAGTCTGCGTGACAGAGCAAGACTCCATTCCCCCGCCCCACCCCCCACCCAAAATAAAAACAAATGCCGAGGGCTGTATTCTACAAAGATCCTTACTTAACTGGTCTGCAAAGCAGCCTGGACATAAAGATGTTATACAACTCCCGAGGTGATTCAGTCTCCCTGGACAAGGTTGGGAAGCAGTGCATTGGCATGTAAGTACATCAGGGCGGAGCTCATGTCAGTACTGCCCGGAAATGCTTGATGGATGTTTGTTTCATCAATACACAAAGAAGGCAAACAAGCAGCCACTCCCCGCTTTCCTGAGGTAATGCCAGTAGGGCTCTACTTCTTAAGAATCGATCCTTTCATCTGTCCTCAGACAACAAGACAAGGGCCCTTGGTTTTCAGCGCTGGAGAAGGGGATGGGACATATCACACCCTTATCAGCCTTCAATATTCTAAACCCATGCGCCATCTCTTCCTTCTCCATCCTCCAATCTCAGCATATGTGCTACGGAAGTGAGCGCACCCTTCACCATTGTCTATTCTCCGTGCAAAGAGCTGCAGTGAGGAGGCTGGGGCGGGCAAGGCCATCTGCCATACCTGTCCATGGACAGCTGAGCGACCAGGGTGACGTCCGTGCTGTCTGCCGCAGGCTCATACTCGTAGTGCAGGAAGTAGAGGTGGGTGCGGTGGACAGTGAAGCGCTCTCGCCGGAACTCATAGCACAGGTCGTCCTCGTCCAGCTCAGACAGCTGCTTCTGGAGCTGCGGGGTACGAGAGAGGTCTTGGGCACGTGAAGAAGAGGGCTCAGGGGCCCACGAGCTGGCCCCTTGGGCCTTACCGTCCCCGAGTTTCTTACCCATCAGGACATTGCTGATGGGTCAGACATACATGGATGGGATCACCACTTTTATTTCCCTCTGCAACGTAATCTAATTTCAAAAAGGTGATGGTAAAAATCAGATGCCTAGGGACCAGGTGCCGTGGCTCACACCTGTAATGCCGGCATGTTGGAAGGCCGAGCCAAGCAGATTGCTTGAGCCCAGGAGTTCAAGACCAACCTGGGCAACAAGGCAAAAATCCCGTTTCTACTGAAAATAGAAAAATGAGCTGGGCGTGGAGGTGTGTGGCTGTAGTGGTACTCAGGAGGCTGAGATGGGGGAATCATCCGTGTCCAGGATGTGGAGGTTGCACTGAGCTTAAACGGCGCCACTGCATTCCAGCCTGGGCTACAGAACAAAACCCTGTTTCAAAACAAAACAAAATAAAAACGAGGATGCCTTTAGCCCCTGAGAAACAAGTCCCCTCTTAGTTAAGAAAAAACTCTGTGGTGCTCACTGAAAAACATATAAGCAAACAGAAACTCCTTAGAAAAAATGAGAAATGTTTCCTTAGGCAACTCAGCATAACAATTTCAAATAGCACAGGGAAATGACCCGGACATGGTGGCTCATGCCTGTTATCCCAGCACTTAGGGAGCCCGAGCCAGGCGGATCACCTGACGTCAGGAGTTTGAGACCAGCCTGGCCAACATGGTGAAACCCCAACTCCACACAAAAAAAATACAAAAATTAGGTGGGCGTGGTGGCGGGAGCCTGTAATCCCAGCTACTCAGGAGGCTGAGCCAAGAGAATCTCTTGAACCTGGGAGGCAGAGGTTGCAGTGAGCTGAGTCTGCACCACTGTACTCCAGCCTGGATGACAGAGACATCTATAAACAACAGCAACAACAAAAACAAGTAACACAGGAAAACGCCCAAAGAAGAAAACAGTCAAACTGAAAAGAACCTCCGTGTGCCTGATGCTTCTCTCATCCTAGAGCTGCTGATTTCAACCTTTGTACTAGATCTCGGAAGAAAACCCACAACCAACACATAAACAAACAGCAACTCTTTTCCTTTCGTTTCACCTAAGTTGAATCAGAATCTTGGCACCCATACTTTTTTCTCTTCTCTTTTTTTGAGCTCTCTTAAAGTCTTACTTCATTCATCTGCTTGTAGAAGTCATTTAACTAGCTGTCCTTCTCTCTTCACCACCTTGTGAAAAGGCAGACACAGCTGCTGACAGGGAGCTAAGGAGTTAACATTTCAGATGTGCCGAGGCAGAAACACAGATGCGCATATCTGCAGCTGCCTTACGGACACCTCTCATGTGACCCCCTATCAGGCAGGTATGGTGATGTACGTTTTATAGCTGAATAACTGAAATTAAAAAGTGATACAACTCAGCAAACAGCTAATCCACGGTGACAAAATTTGGACCAGGGCATGTTGGATGGGGAAGGGGCCCGGGAAGAGGCAAGAGGGGGTTGGGAGTGACAGAAGCTTCCCGCTCCGCCGTGACTGGAGCGATGGGTACGTGGATGTGCACTTTTGTGAAAATTCAATAAACCGTGCACTTAGAATGGGAGGCCTTATAAAAAGCAGTCTGTATTTCTGTAAAAATCAACTTTTAAAACAATGATAATTTGCCAAAGGTCACAGGGCCGGTTCCAATTTTGTTTCTTTTTTTCTGTTAAACCAGCCGTGTCTATTGCACGAGAGAATACAGATGAACGTTTCCATGGCAAGCGTTACCACCCTAGCCAAATATCAGCAAACGTCTTTCTAAGGAGGTGTACTTTTTAAAATCCCCGTATCAGCAGTTGTAGCAGTCGACGCGAAGATATATGAACTTGCTTCTGGATAGCCTTGTACCTGTTAAGACCATTGCCTTGACAGGTTACTGGATGGCGTTATTTCTCAAGATGTGTGCTATGGAAGATGATGCCATTAACTGCTCCAGTTCCTTCTCTCTCCCCCACTCCCTGCCACCCCAGATATCTTTGCCCTTTGCAGTGCTGCATACTAGAGAGGCACAGTTTATTCCACTAGCCTTGAATAAGCGGAGGAAGTCATACTGTCCCGGTCTTAACACTAGACCTCAAGAGAAAGTGTTTCCTGCAACCCTACCAATGCCATGAGAAGATGCTGAGGCCAGCTTGCTGGAAGATGAGACATTTGGGGCAGAGCAGATCCTCCCCAACTGCCCGAGTCATGCAAGCCAACCCAGCCCAGCCGCCTCAATAAATACTTCTTTGTTTTGAGACAGAGTCTCTCTCTGTTGCACAGGCTGGAGTGCAGTGGTGCAATCTCGGCTCACTGTAACCTCTGCCTCTTGGGGTCAAGTGATTCTCCAGCCTAAGCCTCCCAAGTAGCTAAGATAACAGGTGCTCACCACCACGACTGGCTAATTTCTGTAGTTTTAGGAGAGACAGAGTTTCACCAAGTTTGCCAGGCTGATCTTGAACTCCTGACCTCAGGCAATCCACCCGCCTTGGCCTCCCAGAGCGCTGGGATTACAGGTGTGAGCTACCATGCCCAGCCAATAAATACTTTTTCTTGAAGGCCATTGTGGTCTTAACTGGTTTTGAGCAACACATACTGAGAGAGTGCTACTGGTATTTTGTGAGGGGCATTTTATTATTATGGGGACCTGTCCTGCATATTGAAGGGCAGTAAACCTCCCGAGCTCCTGCCCATGAAACGCTTGTAGCATTCTCCAGACAGCCCTGTGCAACTCCAAATGCACTTACACATTTCCAAGTGCAGCTTGGGAAACTGGCTGAGATCCAATGATCTGTGAAACATTCTCAGCTATCTCTAAAATTTTTTAACTGTTAAGAGGATGCAATTATGGATTCTCAGCTTTTCACGTCAATTTGCTGACCTTACCTATTTGAAGATTCTCACCATGCCAACGGTTTAATGTAAGACAAGAAAGCTGAAATTCTCATTCCATCTAAGATCTATGAACTCACTGCTTCCTTCTGACCTGTAGGATTAAATCCACATTTCCTTGTTCTCTCTGACCCATCACCCTCAAGCACTCTGTGTCTGGGGAGCAGAGTGCCCTCATCAATGATCTCTGTGCTACCAAAACCTGCTTTTCCCTCACACCTCCGGGAGTTTGTTTGGTGCCATGCTCTTCCCTCTTGGCAATGCCTTCTCTCACCTCACCCTACTCTCCTCCGCCTAAAAAACCTTCCATTTACCTTTCAAGATTCAGCCCAGATGGCACCTACTTCTGTGAGACCTCTGCTGATCCTGCTGGGTAGAAGCGATCCATTTCTTCTTGGCACTCCATGAGTGCTCAGTTCGTAAGTCCATTAAAGCGTTTGTCAACTTGAACTGAAATTACTTAAGGGCAACTTTCCTGGCAAGACTGTGACACTCCACCATTGTCCTGAGCACAGTACCAAGCCTGTGACAGGTGCATGATACCATGTGTCGGATGCCTGAAAAGTATTTGCTGTATACAAAAAACAGCGTAATCCCTGTGAAGACCTATCCTTCCAATTTCCCTTTTGTGTCCTCTAATTATATGCACAGAAAATGATCAATAAGCCCATTCTTCAGCCCATCATTTGCTTCGATGTTTGCATCCGAAGGTCTGTGATGGCTGAAAAGCTTTTGGAACGCAAACAAGCATGCATCGAGGTCCACGTGAGGTGCTGGGTACAGGTGATTTCCTTTCCTCCCCAGAGCCCCCCGTGAGTCACTTGCAGCCTCATCTGACGGTGGAGGAGGGTGGAGGCGTCAAACCTGGGTCTGTGCCCCTCCATCACCATGCTGCTGCTTCAGGAAAGACGTGTGCTTGGCCTCATGTGAAGACGCAGACGCAGCCCAGCGGCTAAGGCTACTGGTTCTAACCCACTCCTGCCTGGATGATCTCAGGTTAGCTGGGTGAGTGACCTAAACTTTCTGAGCCTCAGAGTCCTCAGCTCTAAAATGAGGGTGACAATACTCACTACCCTAGAAGGTTATAGAAGATTCTAAAAGATGCTGCATATAGAGAAACAGAGGTGGAAGAAAAGATGCAACAGATGTCACTTATCATCATGCTATTATCACAGGAAAGGGAGATACCTGGGTCCCTGAAGACACCTATGTGGACTGTCCTTTTTGTCCTCAAACCTCACCCGAAGGAGACTGAATGGCAAGGGCCTGGTGGGCAGGAATATTTAATGAATATGAGAGCTCCCCTGGCCTTCTCCTTGAGGGCCTCAAATATGCCTATAAACCGTAATGTTGCCTCCCAGGAGAAAACGTGACCAACTGCTATGCTCCTAACCTCCCTCACCCATACTGCAGAAAAGCACAAGGAATTATCCCCCACTGGAGAATACACATCTCCAGAATTCTGTGCAAGAGCAGGGTTGGCTTTTGTCTGTCTTTGGTTTTGGTCTCTGTTTTAATACTTTCAGAAGAATGAATGGCTTCCAGTTCAATGAAGAGGCGAGTGGAAATGTGTGTGGTTATGAGTGTGGTAGGCAAATGTGTGCGGAGAAATGGGCCCTTTTTTGAGGAGGCTTTAAACAAGTAGCTGGTCCTCACCATGGGAGAAAGAGCATCAGTGAGTGGAGGGTGAGAAACACATGTGTATATGGGGGTTTCTCATCCCGTTTATTGACTGATTAGTTGATTGACTGAGATGGAGTCTTGCTCTATTGCCCAGGCTGGAGGGCAGTGGCATAATCTCGGCTCACTGCAACCTTCACCTCGCCAGGTACAAGCGATTCTCCTGCCTCAGCCTCCTGAGTAGCTGGGATTACAGGCACTCACAACCATGCCTAGCTAATTTTTGTGTTTTCAGTAAAGACGGGGTCTCACCATGTTGGCCAGGTTGGTTTTGCACTCCTGACCTCAGATGATCCTCCTGCCTCAGCCTCCGAAAGTGCTGGGAATACAGGCGTGAGCCACTGCGCCTGGCCTCTTCTCCCACTT